GAGCAACAGGCTGCCGAACAGCAGACAAAAGCAGCCTCTCCGCCCCTCCTCCCCCTATACATGCTGGGCTCCCTGGGCAAACAAAGACTCCACCAAAACAAAGTGTTAGCAAAAAAAGGACCCTCCTCCTAGAACCCTGAGTGGTGTGTGGAAATAAAGCTATTAGCTCAAAGCATGGTGCAGAGCTGTTTGGTATTTGATGAGTTACTCCTTTAGTCCTGAGTTTGTCACAGGGACAGAAATAGATGTGAAATCTTCTGAACAGGGGAACAGACAGCAAAACAAACATTAGAGGGGAGTTAACCTTTCCCTATGCTATCCAAAACTAAAAAAAATGTTTGGCTAGAGTTTCCCCTACAATATGTACCAGTTCCGACTTACATACAAATTCAACTTAAGAACAAACCTACAGTCCCTATCTTGTACGTAACCCGGGGACTGCGTGTATAACAAAACAAAGTTACTTGTATAATATACTGTTCCAGTTTCTTAGGCTAATTTTTTTTAAATATCACCCATTTCTTCCTACTTTAGATTTCCCATAATCCCATCATGGATTCCTACATATCTTTCTCTTGCCTTTCAGTCATCAGCAAAGAAGTCCAGTATATTATAAAATGTGTAATTCCTAATTCAGATGGCTTGTTTGTTACAACACATTTATACAGCAGTATGGAATTGAGTAGCATCTTACTCATGTCCGCTTTAATTCTTTCCTGTGGGCACAAGTGTGGAATTTGAACGCCTGGCTTTAGAGAATTCCCTTTTTTGGAGGGGTAGGGAGTATCAATTTAAATGTTTTTGGCACCATCCCCTGCTTCTCTGGCTTTGTCAACTTTCCAGTCTTGCACAGGCCAACTTTAGGATGGGTGTTGGGGGTGACTGGCACTGCCATGGCTCTATTCCAGGAGTACTTTCTAGCCTCTTCACCCTGGTGGTAGATGGTACTTGAAGATATTGGGGCGGTGTGGCAGAAATGCTTGTTAAAGTTGCTGAAATGTTGTGCCAGTTTCAAAACTGCTGTTTTTCCCCTCTGAGAGCTATTGAGACTCTCCTTACCACTTTGTATTAAATTGGGAGCGGCATGCTACAAATAACTCAGGCTTTTAAGTGATTGGGCAAATTCTGTCTTAGAATTCATGTGTGGGGCTTATGGTATCTTCAACAGAAATATCATGAGCACTCTGGAATTGTAGTGGGGCAGAGTGGCTGACACCCGGAGGCGGAAGAACCCCTCGGGGTGGCCAAACCCGCTATAGGAATACTGATTTACCCTCTTAATAAAATTGAGACTCTCATTTTGGATGACTAGGAGAGACAGAGACTAAGGGTCAATGGTCTTAGTGCGGTTTCCAGGGCAAGAGAGATTTGGGAGCAAGAGCAGTCATAGAGAAAAAAATGGTAATATAAGGGTATTTTATTTTTATATTTTTCCAATTTATTTACTTTTTACCTTTTTGTTAAAAGGGGTTAATGAACAATTATATGAATTTTCAGTTACTGAATAGATGAGGTGCATTTAATTAAATGAAGAGGAGAATTAGAAGACAAGTATGTCCTACAGTGGTGTGGCATTCCAGCACCTTGCCCCAGATACTGACAGAGGGTATATCTAAACTACATCCCTTTCTTGATAAAGGAATGTAAATTAGACGTATCGAAATTGTAAACAAAGCCAGGATTTGAATTTCCCTTGCTTCATTTGCATAATGGCAGCTGTGGCGCTTTTTCGAAAAAGCTGCTTTATTGCTTCATTTGCATAATGGCGGCTGTGGTGCTTTTTCAAAAAAGCTGCTTTAAAAAAAAACTGGTCAAGACTGGGATCTTTCGACAGAAATGCCCTGTTTCAAAAGATCCTGTAAACCTCACATTTTAAAAAGTTATTCTCTGTCTCAGAGACAGATTCTGCGACAAGTAGTCCGGCTCCTCCTCCTCAAATATCAAGGAATACTAAGCCCTTTGGTTACGGTTATCCAACGCTTCAACCTGGCTACCAGAATGCAACACTGCCTACTTCTGCTATGCAGCCCAGTAATCCAGGGCATCAATCTGGGTTTCAACAATATCCACAAGTAAGGTTTTTTTAAATTCAGAAAGTATTTAATATTTCTTTTAAATCCTTTTGTAAAGCTTTTAGTGATGTACCTTGGATGACATAGTTCCCAATACATTATTTGAAAAATGTGAGTATTGTTTTAAGTGTAAGAACTGTAATTTATCAAACAAGCCTGAACATTGATTTAGTAGCTCTAAATTCAGTATTAGTGAGTTCGGTATTTGAATTATTGTGAAGAGAACCAACAAATTGTGGTGGTAGCCCATTCAATTACTTGTTCACTGATGGTAAAAAAAAAATGTAATATTTTAAACCTTTTTTTAAATTGTTGTTTTTGAAGGGGAAAGAAACTGAAGATATATTAGAGTTAAACATTGAATAAAGAGGAAGACCATAATTCCCAATAGACAATCCAGATTTCCCATTGGTTTGTGTATGACAGTGCTAGGTGACACTCCTATCCAAAGTGTGCTGCTTCACTCTGGAGAATGTAGAATTTTTTTGGTAGAAGCAAAAAGATCTAAAATATACTTCTAAAGGGAAAGGGAAGTATAGCCATGTTTAATGTTCCCTTTCTGTGCTTGGTTCATAGTCTTATCTCCTCTATACATTTATTAATAAAAGTCCATTGGGCATTTCACCTGAAAACTATATAGCTTACATGAATTTGGGTTTTTTAAATTCATAACTTTTGAAAATACTCATTTAAAATAATCCTTCTAAATGCTACAGAAACGAGGGAATGCATGACTGTCTGAGGCTTATTCCGGATTGGAAGGAGAAAATAGAATGTGTATTGCTTGTTTTTTTTGTTTGGTTTTTGAAAATAGAATGTGTATTGCTTGTTTTTTTGTTTGTTTGTTTGGTTTGGAAAAAGTAAAAAGTGAGAACTTTAGAAGAAAGGGAAAATATCAGTTTTCTTGTAATATCCGATCTGGTTTAGCCTCTAGATTTCTTTAGACAGTGTTGAATCAGAGTGTCTTGAAAATGAGGGTTATGCACTTCCTATTGAAGTATCTTTTATGTTAACTTCATGCTTTAGACTTAGAATAGAATGCTGTAGACTTAATCCTCCTAAGGAGGATGATAACTGGTTCACACCAGGATACTGCTGAAAAAAATATCATACATGTTTAATGAACAAAATCTTAATTCTTCTCACTATTCTTTCAGATAACCATTAAGGAAGATATACCAGTAGCTAATAATCCTTTGCTGATGAGAAGAGACTTGTAATTTTAAAAGCTTGCACAAGACAATAATTGCTTCACAAAAACTTCGTGGCTACGTCTACACTGGCATGAATTTCTGAAAATGCTTTTAACGGAAAACTTTTCCATTAAAAGTATTTTCGGAAAAGCACGTCTAGATTGGCCACGGATGCTTTTCCGCAAAAAGTGCTTTTGTGGAAAAGCATCCTGCCAATCTAGACATGCTTTTCCGAAAATACTTTTAATGGAAAAGTTTTCCGTTAAAAGCATTTTCAGAAATTCATGCCAGTGTAGACGTAGCCACGAAGTTTTTGTGAAGCAATTATTGTCTTGTGCAAGCTTTTAAAATTACAAGTCTCTTCTCATCAGCAAAGGATTATTAGCTACTGGTATATCTTCCTTAATGGTTATCTGAAAGAATAGTGAGAAGAATTAAGATTTTGTTTATTAAACATGTATGATGTAGAATAGTGAGAAGAATTAAGATTTTGTTCATTAAACATGTATGATATTTTTTTCAGCAGTATCCTGGTGTGAACCAGTTATCATCCTCCTTAGGAGGATTAAGTCTACAGCATTCTCAGCAACCAGAAAGCTTGAGACCAGTAAACCTTATTCAAGAAAGGAATATTCTTCCTGTTTCTCCAGTTCTAGCTCCTGTGCCTAATTTGAATTCAGACCTTAGGAAATTGAATTGCAATCCAGAGTAAGTATATTGTTTTCAATTGTGGGTATATTATACGTAGCATTTTTTCTGTGATCTTTCATAATTTAGTTAAGAATAATAAAAAATGCATTAGGGATTAAATTAATCACAGTATTCTGCTTTAACTAGTCAACCAATTTGTTTCTTCTGGAGAGAAGAGTTGAAGTCCTCTGCATTTCTGTGTGAACGCTAAAGCTGCTTCTAATTTACATCTCCTACTACCAGTGCTTAGCATTATGGCTACCATTCTTGAGGCATCTAAATAAGACTTTTATAGAGTCTACCATTATTGCTGCTTTATGCTTGGGGAAATTCTTTTTTGCTGGAACAGTCTACTGTTGTTATCCCAAGGCCATTGCATTCTAAAATCAAGAAAGCAATATCTTATAAACTAGCTATGGGAACAGTCTTCATGAACCTTACCATAATGACTCTAAGCAGCATTCTAGTCCCAACTCTGCCCCTTAACCTTATTCGCTTCATTTTTGAAAAAGCCATAAACGTATAAAAATCAGAAATACACAGTTTGTGATTTTTTTTTTTAAAGCATGGAATTTCAAAAGCATCCGGCATTGGCCTGACTCTTCTCTAAATAAAGCCATTGGGAGTTTTTTACCTTTGCCATCAGCCAATGATCACTTAAAATTTCCTCTCATTGTAGGTAATTAGTGATCAGTGTCAGCACTAGAAGGTCTGTTATTAAAATATAACCCCATAACCTTAAAGCTGGGTAAAAGCCTAATGAAAAAAATAGGCTTTACACCGGGGTGGACAAAAGAGCCTCCGTAGGCCAGATTAGGCTCACAAAGCAGATTGATCTGGCCTGCAGAGGCCCTGCTGCTCCTTGCCCACAGGCTGGTTAGTTAGGGCCTCGGGGTGGGGGGTAGTGCATGACATTTCCTCTGCCCTGCCAGGAGCACACAGTGCTTTGAAGTGCCGCATGCAGAGTTGCTCTGCCCCAGGCTTCCTGGAATCAGCCTCTGATCAGTTTCAACAGGCTGAATCTGGACGCCAGTTCCGACTTACATACAGATTCAACTTAAGAACCCCAGGCGTCCCCAAGTCAGCTGCTGCTGCAACTGATCAGCGGCTGATTCCAGGAAGCCCGGGGCAGAGCAACTCTGCCTCAGGCTTCCTGTAGTCAGCCGCTGGGCAGTTTCAGCAGCGGCTGAATCTGGACGCCAGTTCCGACTTACATACAGATTCAACTTAAGAACAAACCTACAGTCCCTATCTTGTACGTAACCCGGGGACTGTCTGTACTTTCAGGTTTTTGTTTGGTGCCATATTTACACTTGAATATTGTTCTCTGTGGAGACTTGTGCTATTTTAGGCAATGTTTTTTGTTTATTTTGAAAACAGATTTATTAATATTTAAAATTTCACTACTTTGAATCTCGGAGAATATAATTGCATGTCAGTATAGCTTTTGTATGAAAGTTTGCTGTGCTAGCTCATTTTTCTATTTTCTTCCAGTTCATTTCGATGTACACTGACAAATATTCCACAGACTCAGGCTTTGCTAAACAAAGCTAAACTTCCCTTGGGGTACCCTTAGAGACTAAATATATATATATATATATTTTTTTTATTTTGAATCTCTTCTTAGAATGCTTTGCTTTTTACTTTGTGGTACTTTTTAATCTTTTTGAAGACTTATTTAAGTTTAAGTAACATCAGGAGATATGGAACTATTTTCAAGTAGAATTCAGGCACAGTAGCTACCTGCTAGTGTCTTCCATTATCCACAATGTACAAGTATTCTTGCAAAAGCAAGAATACTGTTCAAGTTATCTAGAATTACAATAAAACGGTTGCTTATCTGACCCTTTTAGCCTATGGTGATACGTTTCCTTTTATCCAACTAAATATATTAATATCCATGATCATAGTTCCTGCCAAGATGCATGCCTACACAGCCTCACACAAAAAATTCTTCCCCTGCCTACTTCCTCTGGATAACCACGCAGCAGCACTTGCATGGCAGGCAGCTGCTCCAGCAGGCAGGGAGAAAACCGCTGGGGCAGGGTGGAGGTGGGACCTGCTGCGGCTGCATGGCATGGGGAGGCCTGCTCCAGTGGCCAGGCCAGGGACTGTTCTGGCAGCTGGGGCTGGGAATGGGACCTGCCACATGGCCATGGTGGGGGCAGGGTGTGCTCTGATGGCTGCAAATGGGACATATTACATGGCGGGAGGTGGGGGGAGGTTCTGCTCGAGAGAGAGGGAGAGGGAGAGGGGGATGCCACAAAACCAGCACACATGATATCGATATTGGTACACTAGCCAAAACTCACTTAGCTCATGGTTGTAAAATCTTAGAGGGAACACTGGCCATGATCAGAACAGATTGTTCTCTCCAACATTTTGTAAACAAATACAACATAATAGAGTTCAGTGACATTACTCAGAATTCTTCTTCGAGGAATGTCCCCGCGAGTGCTCCGCATTTAGGTCTGCCAGAGCCGCTGCACCCATGGTTGGCAGATTTCTGATAGCAGTGCTCCTCTGGCTGTGCACAGGTAGCGCTGGCACGTGATGCTTGGAACGGTCTTCCTGGGAGCAATGCCGCCAGCTTTAGTAGCAGCAGAACAGTTGCTCTAGTTTTACCTCAGCCTATAGTTTAGTGTTAGCTGTTAGTATCCAAAGGTTTTTCCTTAGCTTAGCTAGGTTTCCACGTTTTTTGGTTTTTTTGAGGGGAAAAAAAGAGAGAGCGAGAAAGAGGAACTTTCCCCTCCGCTTCACAGAAGCTGTGGCTCTTTAACTCTGGCACAGAACCGTGGTCTTTATGAGAAGAGTCTGCCTCAAGGGACTTTTAATAGGACATACTTGGTTCCTCAGGATTCAGAAAGTATGAATCCTGCAGGGTCTCCATTTCCATTTCTGACTGACATTGTCACTGTGTCAGCTGCCTTGCTCAACAACACAATACACAGCAGTGCAAACACTGCCTGAAATTGACCAGCAGGACTAGAAAAGCCAGAGAGCTTCAGCTTAAAATGATGCTGCTAGAGAATGATGCAAAAGAGGCACATGGCACTGGCATCGATAACAGTGCTAGCACTAATACCTCATGCATCACAGGGGGCACATGCTGCTCTCGCCACTACAGCTGCATTAGTTGACTTAAGCAGCAGAGCTGACGGTGGCATTGGACACCTCTATTGGGTGGTGATGGCACCCTAAAATTCTCCAATGCTCAGTCTCTTCCTCATCTGTCTTGATGCCCCCGCTACTGAGCGATGAGGATGATGATGCTCCCACAGCCTTGTTGCCCAAACCGCTACAAGGGCAGCAGTGGCAACAATCCCAATGGCTCCTACTACCCATGCCACTCAGCTGGCTATACTGGGACCCAGAGGTGGCTTATAGACTCCTACCCCCCACCCCAGGTGCCTCAAGCTTCCCAGACTCAGGTCGTCCCCAGACAATCCCCTGACCACTCCGTATTCTCAGAGAAAGAGGGGAGAATGGATGTCACAGAGTCAGAAAGAACAATGAGCTCACCACCAAAGGAGCACCTCATATCCTTGTCACCCAAGGACACAATCATGCCTCCACCATCCAATGCAGGAGATGATTTCAGGTCTTTCCAGGAGCTTTTTAAGAGGGTGGCAGTCACATTGGACATATCAATGCTAGATATGCCCAAGACCCAGCACAAGCTCACAAACATATTTCATACCTCACCACAGGCTAAGCTAGCAATCCCCATCAGTGAAGCACTGATGGACCCAACTAAAACCCTGTGGCAGATGCCAGTTACAGTTCCACCCACTGATAAAAGATGTGATTAAAAAATACTATGTGGCCCCAAAAGAAGCAGAATTCCTATTCTCACACCCCACATCAAATTCCTTAGTGGTCAAAGCAGCTAACCAAAAGGGCAAGCTGCAGACAATGTGCCCACATGACAAGAAATGGAAGTGCCTGGACATCATGGGCAGACCATCCTACTCGTCCGCCAGCCTTCAACTCAGTATTACAAACTACATGGCACTCCTTGCAAAGTACACACACCACATATTCGATCAACTGCCAATTTGTATTACAGATCTTCCTGACAGGGGCAGAGCAGCTCTGCCTCGGGCTTCCTGTAGTCAGCCGCTGCTCAGTTTCAGCAGCGGCTGACTTGCGGATGCCTGGGGCAGAGCAGCTGGGGTGCTGCTGGGTTGGTCCAGTAGCGCCGCACCTCAGCGCTGTGGGACCAACCCGGCAGCCCCCCAGCTGCTCTACCCCAGGCGTCCTGATTCAGCCGCTGCTGAAACTGACCAGCGGCA